CTTTCTTTCTTTCTTTCTTTCTTTCTTTCTTTCTTTCTTTCTTTCTTGTCTTTCCTCTTTCCCTTCCTCCTTTCCTGCCCCTTCTTGGATGCTCAAATGCAAAAGGGAAAACGCTTCTCCATTTTGTTTCACTTTTAGTTTGTATTGCCAGCCCTCTGCCGGCCAAAACGGAGCTTGGGGGGGGGGGTCAAGTGCAACCCCCCTGGGCCCCGTTTTCACTGGCAAAGGCGCCGCGGGCTGCTCCTTTGCTGTTTCCAGGGTAGCCCTGCAGGCCAGACCTAAGCACCTTGAGCTTGCCCCACCCCCTCCACCGCCCTAAATGATCACCTGCACCTTGGGATCAAGCCCCCATGTCGATGTGAGCATATCGCACTGAGCCACCTCACCTCTTGGTCTCTTGTGTAGGATAAAACAGGTTCTAATGGCCATGTCTGGGGTGTACGCCCTGGCCTCAGTCAAGCTATTGTCCATGTTGCGTGGCTCCACAGCGCTTCTTTCTCGGGGCCATCTTTGGACCCCCCCCAAAACACCTGGAGGACTCCACCTGCCTCTCCCTCAGAAAAACTGCTCTTCCCCCTCCCCTCTTCTTCCCGGCCCCCGATCCCGTTTAATCAGCGAAGTGAGCTCGCCAAGCAACCTCGCTTGGCAGTCTTCCTTTCGGTGGGTCTGGATCGGCTCTAGAAAAAGCTGGGTGCCAGTCGCCTCCGCGGGGTTAGATCCAGAGACCCATTGTCCTTGCCAAGTTACCGGGCACCCGGTCTTAAGCACGGGCTAAAGCAATTAAGCCAGCTGGAGCGGTCAGCGCTTAAGCGTTGCCGCTGGTTTTGAAATGCCAAGGCCAGCGTTGGTACTTAGAGGAGGTGAAGAGGCAGCGTCGTGCCTGGTTTCTGCATCTTCTTCCCCAGATGGAGAGACCAGGAGGGGGGGTCAAAGGGGTCTTCAGGATAAGGCGCATTCTGCTCCTATCTTTATTTTATTATTTGATTTTGCAGCGGGAAAAGATCGTTGTTTGGTTTGTTGGTTTAAGGCAGGGGTCTGCAAACTGAAATGCTCCAAGAGCAGAGGTGGATTCAGCCGGTTCTGGAGAACTGGCAGCGGGAATTCTACTTGCCTGCTCAGGGCCCGGATGTCGGCCAACTGGACCAGCAGGTGCCGGAATTTGTCCATGGCGTGGGGATAATGGACGATGGTGCATTCCATCAGGGCCGTGTTGGCTTTTTCCTGGGCCTCCTTCACCAGGCTGGAGTTCTCCACATACTTCACATCTGCAGCCAAAAGGAGAAAGCAGGCCAAGGGTGGGGGGTCAGCCCGGCCTTTTCGCCCATCGAGAGGTGATTCAGCCGGTTCAGACCGGTTCTAAAGAACCGGTAGCGGAAATTTTGAGTAGTTGGGAGAATCGGCCCAAACCACCTCTGACTGGCCCCGCCAACCCCATCTCTTCTCTGCCTCCTATTGAGTCCCAGATGATCGGCTGGGTCTCCTTTGGTTGCCCTGAACAGGAGAACAGAGCTGGAAAGCAGGTTGGTGGGGTGGGGAGGGAAGGGGGATTTTACAGTAACCTTCCCCTGCCATGCCCACCAAGCCAGATCATGCCCACCAAGCCATGCCCACAGGGCTGGTAGTAAAAAAATTTGAACCCTACCACTGTCAAAGAGCCATTTGGACCTGTTTTCCCACAGAAAACAGGACACCGGGAGCTAATAATTTAACAACTGGTGTGACTGCGAGAATGTGTGGCCAACTCGACGTTCACTCACTCCCACTCAGTCACCTCCTGTTCTGGAATATGGAGTGAGTCTCCATCCCCTGCCATCCAGGGATTACCTTCTCTAAGGCCAGGTGAGGAATGATGAGGACGAGCCAGGCAGGGGTGGGATCAGCCAACAGGGAGCCAAAAGAGCCCCATGTGGCTCCAGAGCTGTAGGTTGCTGACCCCTAGTTTAATGGGCAGCCCCCTTTTCTTACGTGCGACCCAAGAGGGGAGGATTAAATGATCCCATTGAGAATCGGCAGCTGTGGGGGGAAGTGGGGTAAAAAAAATATGCAAAGATTGGCTCTCGGTCGTTTGTTGTTCGAGGTGGACTTCCAGATGGTAAGGTCTAGAAACTTAGCTTTGTGGATTTGTTTTAGGTGCACCTGCAGAGTGCTGCGTGGGTGTGTAATTATGCGGGTTGGTGCATATTGAGGGAGAATATCTAGGCAAGGATTTATGAGTCAACAGTGACTTGATAACACTTTATATACATATGCACACACGCACACACAGAGAGTATATACATACACTCACTGGGCTCAAACAACATTTTGTCTGTGATAAAACCATAAGAAGGTTTTTTGATATGAATGAGATGAACCCACAGTGGATTTGCTGAACTCGGGTGAAAATGCAGCTAGCATTGGGGGTTGAATTCAAGGTTCATTGTGGCTGTGTTTGTGCCGCTTGCTCACAATTTTAAAAGGTTTTTAAAAGACTGGGCAGCCCCTTATCCAGAGGAGGTTGGATTAGATGACCTCAGGGGGAGAGCCGCTTGCTTCCTTGCAGACATATGGACTACAATTCCCATCATCCTCTCGGGCTCCAGCAACAAGGAGGCTGCAGCCCCTGCGAGGCGAAATGGATTAAAATAGTTTTTACAAGGGAGGGGGGAGGCGCATCGTAAAAACACGAAATAACTCTCTCTCTTTTAAAAAAAATAATGATTGCACCTCCAGTTCTGAAGGGAACTCAGGTTGGAAAAAGCCAGCGATCCAGAAAAGAAATTAGAAAAAAATAAAAATAAAAGAAATTGAGGTGGAATTTGATCATGATCTCTTATAGCATTTCGGAACAGAAAGGCAAAAAGATTTAGAACTCTGGTTTGGGGCAATAAATATTTTTTTAAAAAAATAGGAGTTATTTCGGTCATCCAAGATGGGATTTTAAGCACTGCTAGGTTCTATGATCAATGCTCAGATTTGCAAACCGAAAAGAGCTCCGGTGAAAGTTTGTTTAGCAAAGTTTAATTAGATATTGTTTTGCTACGGAACTGGAGACAAATGGGAGTTACCTGCAGAGATTTTGGGGTGGTGGTGGAAAATCATCATCATCTTTCTCTCTCTTACTTTCTCTCTCTCTCTTTCTCTCTTTTTCCAGGCTGTACAACTGACTGCCTTCAAATCATCAGGTAAGGCCTCCCGCTGTTAAGTTCAGCCTTGTTAAATTTTCACTGGTTCAGGGCTGGAAAAAAAAAACCCTCTGTCTTTTTAACTGGAGAAGTCAAATTACACTTAGCTAGGAGCCTTCTCATGCTCAGAATCCAGACCTGAGTATCCCTTCTCTGCAGAATATTTGTTGAGAAAGTTGCAAAATAATACTAATAATACTAATTAATACTAATAATACTTACTAATACGGAGGAGGAGGAGGGGGAGGAGGAGGAGGAGGAGGAGGAGGAGGAGGAG